TTTTTATGGACGACAATGCGCGACCACATAGGGCTCTCATGGTTGATGAGTATCTGGAAAGCGAGGATATTCAACGAATGGATTGGCCAGCCAAATCCCCTGACCTGAATCCTATTGAACATGCTTGAAATGCTCTTGGGAGAGCTATTGTGATGCGACAACCTCCCCCGAGAACCATTCTGGAGTTAAAAATTGCTCTGGTGGAAGAATGGGAGGGTCTTCCACAAGTCCTCCTTAACTCCCTTATTAACAGCATGCATACTCGTTGCGCATGCTGTCTGTCTGTTAGGGGTGACCATACACCTTACTAGAGGCAACACACACTGTACAAGCCTCACTTTTACTGTCATCTTTTATCCTTAAAGTTCAGACTACATTGGATTTATTGACAATAGGTCTTGCCAGTGAATGGCACTTTCATTTTTGTTTTGCATACTTTATAATCATGGAATAAACTATATCCATACCAAATTTCATTTATTTATATTCAGTATTTTTTGAGATATTTGGGAAAATGTTTTCCATCTCTCAATTTTGTCCACCAGTGTAATTTGTCATCTCCTAACATTCACAGCGATATCATTCACAAAAATGTCTTCTCCTAAAATTCCCAACGATATCATTCAGAAAACATTCATTCCCAAAACGTTATATATATATATCTTTTACAAAAATACACTGTCCAGAAATCCAGAACGGTATTATTCGCAAAAAATATCATTCCTTAAAATCCACAATGGTATCATTCACAGAAATTCCTTTCGAAAACTCCATATCAATATTCTCAAAAAATACAATGTCCAAAAATCCAGAATGATGTAAGTGACAAAAAATATATGCTCAAAAATTCACTGCATTGATTCAAGCTAAATTAATGGGCTATTCTTAATAAGATTCTTATTAATGAGTACTATCGCACTCGTACACTGCACTATTAATATTTTGATCAGAGGTAAATGGTTAAAAAATTCAAAATTGGTTTACTTGTACATAGGATCCAACTTAGCTGCAACTTCCATTATCTTATAAAATGATGTTCCAGCCGGAATATACAGTTGCATTGTCTTTTCTAAGTACCGATCTGTACCTAGCCACAGTGAATACCGGACTCTGCTTTTGTTACCTGTCTGAAACATCCAATCTTGCAGAATTTCATCACCTGTCGAAAAAGAAAATTAAAGGTTTCAGTACCATGTATTTGTATTAAAAGAAAGAAAATGAATACCTATATTTAAAAAAATTGTAGTAGCTTCTTAATCGTTATAATTTTTCATAAAAAAAAATCTGAGTTTGAACGAAATTGGTTGAGTAGTTTCGGTGAAATGGTAAATAAAAAATGATTGTGTTCCAATTGTTTTTTATACCCCTCAGAAACTATTAAACCGATTTCGACTAAATTTTTGACTTTGTATAGCAAATTATATCGTTTACGAGGTAAAAATTCCAAACTTTTAGTTGTTGAAACTTTTACTTTTTCTATAAAAATTATTGTCAAAAAACTTTTTTTTGCAAAATTAAATGTTTTAACATTATGTGTTTCTGTATACTATTTGCATATTTTAATGTTTGTAAGTAATATGATTCAGAAAAGTACGGAATTTAAAGTTTAAATAGACGTTTCATATTAGATCATTAAATGTAGTCTAAAAATTTATCAGGCACTAGGTCTTAGCTCTAACAAGAAGAATTTTTACAAATATTTTCCACTGAGGTTTGGTTATTCCTTCCCTAAAAAAAGTTTAAAGTTATTACATGTTCTTTTAACTTGCATAAGAAATAATGTCAAACATTTTTCAAACAGTTGATTTGCTTTAAATATGGCGCTCAAAAAGAAAAAAAATTTCCAGCGAAGGCAGGAAAAAAGTTTCTTGGTTAATGAACAAACAATGAAGAAAAATATAATGAGACAAAATATATATAAATAAATTAAGAAAAAACAGCTTAAATAAACTTGTGTTAATTGTTTATCGAATTCTATCGCAGATAAAATTCTGGAAGGGGAGTAAGGTGGTGTTACTACCACTATAAATATTAAATACCAATTCACAAGTATATAAGACATGTTAACTTGATTCTATCGTTCGGTACATTTTGATAGATGAAGATTGACAAAGTCTATAAATAAATCCCTTCAGAACTATCCCATTTATTATAAGTTCTTCAAATATAGCATTGTAAATATTTCGTTTACATATTTAGGGACATTTTGATAATGTAAGGCGAGAATGATCTTCAAAAATATTTGCCTTCTAGCAGAAAAAATGCTCTGGGCATCTTAAAACTGCGTACCTTTGTGGCTACAGCTGGCGTCTTCCGAGTCTTAGTCAAATCAAATTCTTTTAATAACACATTCACCATGATGCCCAAAATATCATGGGAACCATGTGAGAGACAAAAATTAAATCCAGCGGCGAGCCGGATTCGAATCCCAGTCGATACGAATTCCGCATCCGGCTTGCACCGACCACAGTGCTGACGTAACGTGGTAGACTGATCATGGGTTAGAGTCCCCTTGCCGTCAGGCTAACCGTGGGAGGTTCTCGTGGTCTTCCTCTCTATGTACGCAAATACGGGTTAGCTCCATCAAAATAGTCCTCCACGAAGGCAAATTTCTCCCAATACTCAATCCAGGAGTTTCCTTGTCTTCTGGATTTGGTTCAAAATTACAAGGTTACGAAGTTGAACATTAGTAGTTGTAAACCCATAAAATTGGGTCGGTTGTTCAACGACAGTTATTAAAAAAAAATTAAATCTAGTCTCACTTGGGAAGTATGAGTACATTATACTTATATATTGTTTTGATTTTTGACTGTACGATTTTAAAACCATAAATGTTTGAAATTCTACTTATTTCAAAAGGCGAACAAGTTGGCTGTCGGACCTAATACAGATTTATACTCACCTGTTCTGTTTGGAAGAAGGCAGTGGCTTGAGGATATGTCTACGAGGCTTCTATATCTAAGTACGGGCAAAACGAAGTAGGTTTTAATAACATCACCTCCAAAGGAACCATCATGTTCCTGGTTGCTTAAGAGACCCTGGAGTGCTTTCATTGCCGAGTACTGTCGAGTATTTTGGTGAGTATTATTGACAGACATCAAAGCCTAAGGAGAATGCTTTCATTGGTTCAAAAAAGCAACATTTAGTGGACACAAAACTAGATGAAAAATCTAATGAGAAATACATTCGACTTTTATTTATTTCCTTGCCATTTTTTTTAAACGTTATGATTCTTAGAAGAGCAGTCGAAAATTTGAGCTCTTCTGAGTCCCTTTTTGCGTATTTCTCTATATATCGCAGGGCTCGAAAAAACTCTAAAATTTTACCCGTCCCCGAGGACGGCTTGTCCAACAATGTACCCGTCCTCCTTTGAAACTAACCCGTCGCTTCTAAGTAAATAAAAATATAATTTTCTCTTATTTATTACAAACATTTATATAAATTGCACAATGAATTAGTAGTTACTAGGATTACAAATACTAAGATTGCATTATACAGTAATAAAAGGAATACTAGGTTACTAATAGGAACCTAGTATTTCTTTTATAAAATAATTTATTTCTTTTATGAAATAATTTCTTTCTTTCATGAAATAATTTAAATGACAAATGTCAAGTTATCTGGAATGTCAATTTATTCAAGGGTACTGCGTTTTTAAAATGAATCAAACATGACGTTTGCCAGTTCCACAATCAAGCTAATGATTTACAGAGATTTCTGCACAAAAATCTGAAAGGGGTTTTCCATTTAGGTTGATGGTCATAATTGCGATTACCGCTTCTTGTTTAAGACCAGTACGTAATGTTCATTGCGGAAAAGTCCCTTTCAACCGCTGCAGTACGTGACACAGAGAAAACATCAATTCCACAATGCGCAGTATGTTGCTGTATTTCTAGATTAGAGGGTCATTTTAGAAGTGAGGCGCTAGACTCTTGTAAGATAACAAAAATTGAAAATGTATCACCAACATTAACGGGAAAATGGCCGTCCGCGCGGACTTTGGATTCGAGAAATTCGTTGTCCGCTGGGAATTTTTAACCGCCGAGGACGGGCCTACCTTATTTAACAATGTTAAAGTTGTAGTGTGTCTACCACTACAAAAATACAATTCCAATTCACTAGTATATAAGACACGTTAACTTGTTTCTATGTGAGGTACCTTTTCATAGATGAAGGTTGACATTGTCGATATCTACTCTCCCCACATTGGTGACCCGGACGTGATGTGCACTTGTCTACCTTGATAGAAACTCCCACTTCGATGAACACACCTACTTCGATGAATTGTCCACATTGAACCATTGACTTGCTATTTGTGATTGCGACCTTATCCACCTCCTCGAACTGTTGCTACTCAGTCTCGATCGCACACAACGTCGGCCTGCATTCATTCGACTGCTAATGGCAACACAGGACCCTGAACTTAATACACCTCTCACGATCAGCAAAAGTACGGTGGTCCTAATACAGTTCTCCCAGCTTCTCATAAAGCAGCAATGAATCAACTAGTGGTATCCGTTCATCGAATTCTATCACAGATATATTTCTGGTGGGGGAGTACTGTAGTGTGTCTACCACTACAAAAATACAATTCCAATTCACTAGTATATAAGACAAGTTAACTCGATTCTGNAACTTAAAACAGACAAATTCAACAAATATTCAAATAGTGTAGGTTTATTCATGAACAAGAAGAAAACTAAAGTAATGAGAATAAATCAAAAGAAAAATGACAAAATTAAAATCGAAAATCACGAAATAGATGACATAGAATCATTTAGCTATTTAGGTTCTATTGTAGATAAAAAAGGTGGAAGGACTTTTTTAAGGTGTGTTTATTTAGAGAAAATGTGTTTTTTCTTGTCTGATTTCGTAACTCAAAACGTCATCTGCACTAATTAATTAGCATATTTGAGGTCGCCACTTTGGACGATTAAGATTGAGTCCTAGAACGTGAAGATCTGATCATTAGATCAAAAGTTACTCAGGGTGGTCCATTTATTTTTTTGCGCATTGTACTATAGAATAAATATTTAAAAAAGGGGCAATTTTTTGAACTTTTTAAGCTCGTGTAGCTGTTGAGATAATTTTTAAATTTTCAATAGAAATTTTTTTTTTTAGAAATTACCTGCAATATTAAAGCAGTGGTTTTCAAGTTATCAGTGATTCCGTTTTCCTTCTGTCTTTGAGTCAAAACAGAAATCATTTCGGTTAAGTTTGCTCGTAGAGTTCGATTATGCTGCAATGCACACGACGTCGCCATCACCGCTAAAGCCTGCTCATCTATTAAAATTAGAAATATTGACAAATTACAGTTTAAAAAAAATCACGAAAAGTTCATAAAGAATATGCAAAGTTTTTCACATACATTTTAAGAATCTTTGTCAAAAATAGTGCCAAAAAATGTTTACAGAATAAAAAATTAATAACTATACAAAGGAAAAAAAACGAATGTCAAAACGCAATACATCCTTATTGAAGAAGAAGGGACTGAAAATATCGAAACATATTTGATAGTCACAGATTAAGAAAGAGGATTTGAATGGTTATTATTAGAAGCCCCTATAAGTTTCACCAAAAAATTAAACTGATTTTTATGTTTTTTCTTCAGTACTGATTCAACTGATTTCGATAGGTTTTTTGTTTTTTCCTTATTTAAATAATAACCCTTTGACACAGAATTTTTTAAACATGCGTTTAACATTTTTTCATTATATTGTATAATTTAGGTAAAGATAAATGAAAAATATTATATCTAACATTTAAAAAAATTTTGGTTATTAAAACAGTGTGAAACACTGGTGTCTTTTTCTACGTTAAATGTAAGTATACCAAACATGGCTCACTTTGGAGTATACCAAACATGGCTCACTTCCAAACAATAATTTTTCATATTCGTATTTATTTGCAGTTATTTAGATCTAAGAGAAACAGCTATTATATGAATGAAACTTTTTTTTCAAACTTCCTTTTCTGGATTTTGCATTGTAGCACAAATATCATTTCTATAATATAGCAGATTTTTTTAGCATCTGTTAGATTGTTTTTAATTAAAAAATAGTAAAGTATATTTTTGATTTTAGTAAGGGCGGCAGAAAAAAAATATATAAAAAGGTACTAGTGGCCTATCTGCTTCAAATGGTTAATTTGCGAAGCCTAATTTATATACGTATTTTGCTTCACTTTAAAAGGGACTTGAGTAGCGAATAAGGGTAGTAATTATGAAAAGCCCCTAAATACATTATTCGTGCTTGTTTAACCATAGAAGTATTAAAATTAATTATAAAAGGCTGCTGAAGTTCATTATGAAAAGTATGAACTAAATAAATATAAGTCTAATATCGAATTGGATTTTAATCGCCTTTTATGCAACATTCTTAATTTTCATATGATTTTAAGTAAAATTCAAATTTTTTGAGAATTGATATTTATTTTGTTTAATTCATATTAAAGAATTTTAATGATTTGAACAGAATTTATTAAAAAAACGTCATCTTTAAGTGGGAATTTCCACAAATATATTTCAATTTATTATGCACATTACTAGGATAAATGAAAGTTTATTATCAGCACATATACTTTGCAAGAATCTTTTATGAATCTCTTATGAATCGTATATGAAACTTACCTGTCCACAGCTCTCTATGAGCATTTGAAAATTCTGCCTTAAGTTTATCGACATCTTTCTGCGTGATATTGTCTCCAGCGTTGCACAAGGCTATCAGATTAAATGGATTTACGTAATCATCTTTGTCTACTCGGCTGCGTAATTCTTGAACGAGATTTATTCCTTGGAAATTTCTAACATCAATGCAAGCTACCAAGAACGCATTGATGAACGAGGCCAATTCTGTGCTTGAAACATCTTCTAATTCATTCCTAAAATGATTATTTAAAAAGTATAGCTCAGAGAAAAAAAATTGAGACTCATGGCATGCAAGGTAAAATGTACAGACTGTGCTTTTACTTTTTTTGCGTTGAAAGCAAACCCTTTTTTGAACTTGCGCTTATCAATGTCAACTGCGTAGTTCAACAAAGAAGACAAAGGAATTCCTAGATGAAGCATTGGAACAAAAAAGTCTTTGGAATACTGTTTGATAGAATTCACCCGCATTTGAGTTACATGGAGAAGAAAAACATAAAAATCTCCCACGGCTAGTCCAAAGGAAATGGGACTTTAATCTGCCTACCAGGATATTTTACGCCAACAGCGTGATTGCTGAGAGCCAGAAGTGAATTCGTATTGATCACGGGGACTCCAACCTGGGTTTCCTAGAGTAGTGTGCTCGAACCCCTGAGCCTCCACAGTTCTTAATGCAAGGTTTGTTCGAAAAGTAATGTCAATGATTTTTAACTAAGACATTTGAAATAACGAAATACGAAATTCGAATTAAATTGGTTGAATAGTTTTTAAGAAATTAAAGTTTAACAATACTTATTTTCTTAAACAATTATTACTGAAAAAACTATTTGATCAATTTTATTCACATTTTGTATTGTGTCGTCTAAATTTATTGATTAAGTAANAATATATCACAACTATGATAATATGTATAATTAACTATGTTTTAGTTGAATTTATGAACTGTTACAATTGATCCCGTAAGTGGGGGCAATTGTAACAAGTGCACGACTGTCAAAAATTTTTAATAACTAATATAATAACATTTAAAATAAGGTATTTATTTTTTTTCTAGTAGAGGATAGTCTACTTTACGCGTCTGTCGATTAATACTAATAATATATTGGATTTTTTGTTAGTTAAAAATAGTAAAAAATGTTACAATTGACCCCACTCTCCCCTACCTATTGAAATGTTAAGTCTACCGTTGGCAGAAGTTTTGCTTGCAGGGAAGGGCAGCGTTGACGATTGTACAGAGCGCAAAACAAAAATGTTCTCCCCTGAATAAATTTTAATATTATGATTGGATCTTCACGTTCTAGGATACAAACTTAGTGGTTTGAAGAGCTGCTCTTAAATATGCTAATTAATTAGTTCAGACGATATTTTAAGTTACGAAACGACTTTCACTGAATAAACATGCCTCTTTTCCCGACGTATTCAGATTTCTGACCTCCTAATTATCGAGGATAAATGAGAAATATGGTCTCAATAGTTTGGTCAGGAGAACGATGTAAAATTTAGTTCCCTTAATATCAATTTTACTTTTTGCGTATTTCAACATATCTTGCGAAGTTTTAAGAGAATCGAAAAATTTTTGCACACAATTATGCAATTCGTTTATCCAAAGATAATTCAATGCAAAATGTAACTTTTCGTAAATATATATATTTTATTATTTTACTTCATAATGGTTGAAAAAATTTTGAATTGTACTTTAAATAATTCGGTTATTTATAAAATTTAAAGAGTGCAATTTGAATACCTCACAATAAATTTTTTTTCGCCTATTATTAAATTAAAAATAAAACAATAATAAATACTTACTAAAAGTTATATTTTGCATGGAATTATCCAGGGATAACCGAATGTTACAATAAGTTGCAAAAAATTTTCAATTCGCCTAAGGCTTTAGCGAGGTATGGTGTAATATACAAAAAGTAAAATTAGCATTAAAGGGTCCAAGCTTTGGAGCACACTCTTGACCAAACTATTGTGACAATATTTCCCAAATTGCAGCTATAGTATGGGGGTCAGAAATTCGAATCCGTTATAAAAAAGGGATGTTTACTCAGAGAAAGTACATTTCTGTGCTTGATTTCATAACCTAAAATATTGTCTGCACTAATTAAGTAGCAAATTTGATTTCACTCTTTTGAACCATTAAGTTTGAGTCCTATAATGCGAAGATCCGATCATTAGATCAAAAGTTATTCAAGGTAGTCCATTTGTTTTTTGCGTCCTGTACTGGAAAATCATCACTGACAACCAATGATACGAAACTGTATGACTGAATCCTAGAAATTGAATAATCGTATTATGTTCGATTGTCCAATTTGTACTATAGCCTAATATTTATCTTACTTACCCGCCATGTTCATGGGCTGTTGCCATTTATTTTATGTATTTAATGTATTTTGCGATTTGTACTGCTTTTTGGATTTAAATAAACATTTACCCGTATGCCCTAAATTGGGGCAGGTCGGGGTAAATTTTCATAGTGTTCGATTATTGGCACTTTTAAAAATTCGAAAAAAATCGATCACCGGATTGGGACGGACAATTTGCTGATAAGAAAGTGGTGTAAAAATGGTCTGGCATGCTTTTTTCCTGTTCTTATACCAGGCTGATTCGAAGGGGCTAATGGTTACTTACCGCTTCCCAGATTTTTTATAGTTTAGTTCCCTGACATGAACACTCACATGCAAGGGTATAATCTTGGAACAGTTTAAAAAAGTGCAAGAGGCTTTCACCAAGGTTGTCAAATAATCCATCTTCTTACATCAAAATAATTGACGAAAAAAATGAATATTACTTACAAAGCAAGTCTTGATAGAAGCCGGTACCCTACTTCCATAGATAATTGCTTTCCGATTTTATTATTTGGCGAAAAGTAAGTTTCATCCACCAAATAGAGAGCCACAGCCGTCCTGGTTGCATAATATCCAAACACTTCCGCAGATGAGTCATTTTTGCCCTGTTGAAATAACCAGGCTACTGCTTTCTTTTTGAGGTGATCGTATTTCTCAAAACGATCTAAATTAATCAGGGCTGAAATAGAAAAAAAGGGTAAGTTATACTTTTATACTGTAATTTAATTTATCCATTAGTATCTTGTTTTTCGGGACGTTTTTAAAAATGCTCTATCAATTGTTTTCTCGACACAAATGATTTAAGTATTCTCTTTCTTATACGTTAAGTTAAAGCTCTGGTATATCAGTAAATACAAATATGGCAAGGCAGGGAATAACGGATTATTTGAGATTGAAATACGTTTTGAAAACACTAATCAGTCAATTAAAAGAGCTCACTAGTACTTCTAGAAACACATTCGACTGTCATATTCTAAAAATTATAAGGATGTTTTCAGAAAACAAGAGAATTATATTTATTTTCATTTAGAAAATTTTAGACTTGTCCTAGGTATGAGGTTGAAAGCAGTGGTAAAGAAAACTGAGCAAAAAATTACTGAAATTCAGAGGAAAAAAAATGCTTTCCAAAATATCCAATTCCGTTAATTTTTTTTGTAGAAGCTTCAGAATCAATAAAAAGAATATCATTAATCAGTACAGCATCGCTATCATCGCTAATTTCGTGGTTCTCTTTTATCTGTACCCATATTTTTTTTAAAGTTCTTCTAAAGGAATATCCTCCGCGCTGACTAAGTATCCAGCTTTAGCAAAGCTGTTACGAATAATACGATCTGTAATATCATCGTTCTAAGCTTTAGAAATTTCTGTTATGTTTTCTTCGTAAATTGATTTTTGGCACGGATTCTTGTGTGAAATGCAAACAAAAAGGAAATGGATTTTACTGCTTTCTCTAAAAGTTAAGTGGCTGCGAAAATTAATTCAAGGTCATTTCCCCTATAAAATGCGTTTACAAGTTTGAAATGTTCTGAAATATTTTGGAAAATAGGGAAAGTGGATCTCAAAGAAAATTCGTTAAATAGAAAATTCACTTCGCTATATTCGAAAAAAGTCGCAAAATAGAGAAGTTCGTTAAATAGAAATCTGACTGCATCTATCAAATATTGAATCTAATGATTTGTTTTATAAATAATGAATACTTTTATAATTGATTATGTTTTTTTAAGTAAAAGTCATACTTGAGTTTTCTAGTAACAAACTGTTATGTTTTAAGGCATTTTTTTTTACTTACAATACCATTTACTAAACTCGAATCAGTTCAGAAAATGTAGTACTGTATTTGACATAATAATACTAAGCACTTGTTTTAGATTGCTTATCCTTTGTTTATTTGTTTAATAATATTTCCTCAAATATTCTAGGTTGGTCTGATTTAAGAATATAGTGGTACGAATTAGGGAACTGGTTTCCTAAATTGTACAGCTTGCAGAACTGGTATAATTAATTCTCAGTACTCACTGCAAAAATATAATTACCAAAAAATTAATATAAGTAGCTAAATAATTATGTTTTACTGTTAAAATATTTCATATATTAATGATTTGTGACTGATGAAAATTAAAATCTGAAAAGCCTACTTTAAAAAGGCGTACATCTTACTGATATAATAATTTAACAAGACAAACATCAATAATAGTGAAAAAAAAAGACAATTTTAAAGAAACTATTAAAAAACTTACCACTACTGCAGTCTCTTTCATTCGAGGGATCCCTTCCACAATCAGACGGGTCACCGTCACATCTATATTTTACTGGAATACAGATTGAATTGTCACATCGAAAAAAATCTTTACTACAAGGCTCATTCGTTAACATATGTCTTTCAAAGCTAGCTGAAATGGAATAAAACAAGTTTATCTCTACAGTCCTAGGGCAAATTATTAGAAGCACTATAAGATTCCATGTAAAATCTTAATTATCAGGTAATACTATACAGCTTTATTGCTTTTACGTGACTGAAACCGGTTTGTACTTGTTTACGTTCGTGTATCAATTGTTTAAATTAGGCGATATATACTATAAATTCAACGATTGGATAAATTAGACGATATATTATATAAATATAGAATATTTATTATATCAGGAGTTATATTAGTACATTATAATAATTAGACCAAATCATTAGATGTACTGTAGTGTTTTGATAATTGCATGCTTCGTAAGAGTTTATATGCAATACTTTTATATTTAAACATACATGTAATGGGTTTTTATCCAGGAGATTTTTCATATAGTTCCTATTTGTATTAATTTTTAACGTATTGCATTACAATGTTAACCAATTGATACACGAACATAAACAAGTGCAAACTGGTTTCAGTCGCATTAAAACAAAAAAGCTGTATAGTATCACCTGATAATTAAGATACTAAAGAATAAGATAAGATTACTAAATAATTTCTTTGTTAATTTGTATAATTTTTCCATGTGCAAATCCATTTCGGGCTAATCCGTGGTTAAAACTATTTACTAAAAAATTCTTTTACTAAATAATTTCCTTTGTTAATCTATACAATTTTTCCATGTGCAAATCCATTTCGGGCAAATCCGTGTTAAAATTATCTATTAAAATTTTTTTTCTTTGATAATTTATATAATTTTTCCATGTGCTAATCCATTTCNCACGTTCCCTGTTGAACACCGAAGACATGTGGTAGCTGTCAGGTCGAAGAGATCGAAAGTGTGTGGTATTCGTGCTTGGAAAACTGTAATAACTATTTATTATTATTGTTTCTTATTTTATTTCATAATAGAGGAAACAATCTTGAAAATTAAAAGTACATAAATTTTCAGATGCGTTTAAGGTTTGAAATTTTAAATGACAAAATTTAAAGTTTGAGAGAAATCGGTGGAATAATTTCTAAGTGAGAGAATTTTAAACCCTTCCTTCTCGCTCCCGTGAAAATGACGGGGTGAGGTTTCGCCGTCTATTTCTCGCTCCCATGATATTTCCCAGCTGGAATGTTCAGTAGTAACGCTCCAATAAGAATAAAACTAATTCATCTCTTCTGCCCGGAAAACATTTTATTTCTCATTTTACACACCAGATGACAGTACTAGGGTATTTTTAAGGTAATTGTAGATAGTTAGTTTAGTTTAAACTAGTTATCAACACTAATCGAATACGTATATTTTAAAAAAAATAGGAACTTATATGGCCGTTTTCTTGAAATTTAACCGATTGTTAAGGGGTTAAGAAGTATATTTAAAAATTAGTAATCGTAAACATAAGTTCCCAGTAGAACATTGAAGTCATGCATCACTGTCAGCTGTCAGTAAGCGGGTAGGTAATCACTTTGTTCTGCTTGCAAAGGGACCGAGTGTGTATGGTTTTGGTGCTTGTCGAGCTGTTCTACAGTGAAGTGACCTACTTCACATGCTAGTTGTCAGTGTAATTGCTATCAAAGTAGTGGAGCCATCCCCTCTGAAGAGGATCGAAATTGCGACTCAAACGGACTACGAACATGTCTTCGAACTTCGAACGGACCTCAGGTATGTTTCCCAGACCGACACCAATAGATCTTTGTGCAATTCTTGCGTGACGTAATTAAAACACAAACACCACTATTGCTAATTAAAATCTGATTTCTAGAGAACATTTCGATCGATTTGATTCAAACATTAACTTCATTTACACCGATGGGCAGCCCCTCATCACGTTAGACATAATTGAAGAATTCTTTTCAACTGTGTGATCATTTGACGAGCAATTTAAGAACCCAATTTGATTAAAATTAGTTGAAACAGTTTATAAGAGATGTATTATTCTTTGAATAAGGTTTTTTTTGCCTCATTTCAGTCGGAAGAAAAGAAAAAAAAATTTAATTGTGAAATTATTTAACGAGGGATTTATATATATATACTCACTATACACACTAACTGAATACCCGTTCTTCTTCGTATGGGGTTAAAAACAAACTATTTATATTATCTATTCAACCAGTTTGGCGTCCAAAATATCGAGTGAAGTAGGAAAATGTAAATAAATTTCAATGTATAAAAATAATGTCTTTTAAATTGTACGCAATTTTTTTTATTTTTTTTTATCGAAAAGCAGCAGGTTTTTTTTTAAAAAAAAAGTATGTGATGAATTTACGCATTTTTAAAAGGCAACTCCGGATTTAACTCCTTTTTTTTTGCATTACCAACTTAAGATAGATAGTGTTTTTACGGCCCTTATAACAATGAACAAAATAAAAAATTAACGCTTTAAATAACTTTTGATCTAATGATCGAATTATGAGTTACTAAAACGAAAACGTCCATGAAAACTTTCTTTTCCGACTCAATTACTGACTAAACATTCTTTTTCATCTAGAAAACAAGGCTCCATTAATTAAGGCAGGATAGCACTCAAAACTGTATACCCTATAATATTCATTTCACACTTTGGGCTTTTCGCTTTGTCACGAGAAAGTTTTGAAAGAATCGAAAATTTTTTGCGCCCAATTAAAAAATTCCTAAGATTTTTCCATGTAAAATGTGATTGATAATAATAATTTATTATTTATTTCATTTAATCATAGTGGAAAAAAAAACCCTTGAAAATTAAAAGTACATAAAAGTACTTTTAAAGTTAGAAATTTTAAATAGCGAAATTCAAATTTTGAAAGAAATCGATCGAGTTATTTCTAAGTTGTACAATTTTAAAAAATCGTATACTTGAAAATTTGATCCCACAGTAAAGTGACACGTTCCCTGTTGAACACCGAAGACATGTGGTAGCTGTCAGGTCGAAGAGATCGAAAGTGTGTGGTATTCGTGCTTGGAAAACTGTAATAACTATTTATTATTATTGTTTCTTATTTTATTTCATAATAGAGGAAACAATCTTGAAAATTAAAAGTACATAAATTTTCAGATGCGTTTAAGGTTTGAAATTTTAAATGACAAAATTTAAAGTTTGAGAGAAATCGGTGGAATAATTTCTAAGTGAGAGAATTTTAAACCCTTCCTTCTCGCTCCCGTGAAAATGACGGGGTGAGGTTTCGCCGTCTATTTCTCGCTCCCATGATATTTCCCAGCTGGAATGTTCAGTAGTAACGCTCCAATAAGAATAAAACTAATTCATCTCTTCTGCCCGGAAAACATTTTATTTCTCATTTTACACACCAGATGACAGTACTAGGGTATTTTTAAGGTAATTGTAGATAGTTAGTTTAGTTTAAACTAGTTATCAACACTAATCGAATACGTATATTTTAAAAAAAATAGGAACTTATATGGCCGTTTTCTTGAAATTTAACCGATTGTTAAGGGGTTAAGAAGTATATTTAAAAATTAGTAATCGTAAACATAAGTTCCCAGTAGAACATTGAAGTCATGCATCACTGTCAGCTGTCAGTAAGCGGGTAGGTAATCACTTTGTTCTGCTTGCAAAGGGACCGAGTGTGTATGGTTTTGGTGCTTGTCGAGCTGTTCTACAGTGAAGTGACCTACTTCACATGCTAGTTGTCAGTGTAATTGCTATCAAAGTAGTGGAGCCATCCCCTCTGAAGAGGATCGAAATTGCGACTCAAACGGACTACGAACATGTCTTCGAACTTCGAACGGACCTCAGGTATGTTTCCCAGACCGACACCAATAGATCTTTGTGCAATTCTTGCGTGACGTAATTAAAACACAAACACCACTATTGCTAATTAAAATCTGATTTCTAGAGAACATTTCGATCGATTTGATTCAAACATTAACTTCATTTACACCGATGGGCAGCCCCTCATCACGTTAGACATAATTGAAGAATTCTTTTCAACTGTGTGATCATTTGACGAGCAATTTAAGAACCCAATTTGATTAAAATTAGTTGAAACAGTTTATAAGAGATGTATTATTCTTTGAATAAGGTTTTTTTTGCCTCATTTCAGTCGGAAGAAAAGAAAAAAAAATTTAATTGTGAAATTATTTAACGAGGGATTCATTAAATCAGAATTTGAATGCAATATATGTATGTAATGGTTCAAGTAAAAAAGCAAATCACAAAATTTTTGTATGTTTCAAAATGCTTCAAGAGGAAAGTTTTTACGATTTTGTCAAAACTTTTTAGTATAGATTCGGCAGTTTCGGATTACGTAGCTGAAAATGGAAACTGAAAAATAAAAGTAATTACCTTCAGCTTGATGTTTAAAAATGATTACTGTGATGAATGTAGTTAGGAATAAATAGGAGAACATATTTCATGTTTTCAATCAGTTGGTTTACTTCTGAAGTTAGGGCTTCGAATTCAGTCAGTCGTGTATGCTTAAAAGAAAGGAAATGTCGAAATTGTCCCCCCATTTGTCTTTTCCATTTCCTCTGATATTTTCCGTTATACTTATCAATAGTTGACCTTCGATATTTATAAATCTTTCATAAATAGATATTTATCAAGTCTGACTTACGTTTCAAAAAGTGCAACAGTTATGTTTGCAAAAATGTTTACTGATATATTAGATCGAATTTCAATTTTTAAACCCCCCCAAAAAATTATATTAAAGAATTTACATCGAAGGAAAACCGAACAAATTAAGGTACTTATTCGTAACATGAATTTTCCTCAGTGTCAAAACACAAAATGCCATTTTGTGTTTCGACACACTGAGATAGGTTGCAGTGAGGGCTCTTTCATTATATATATAATCTATTAAAATTTT